TGGTATACTGCGCTCATCCATCTCATTGAGGCATCGATGTTAACCGATTAAGCATGACCGAGTCCGTCGAGATGAAAAATTGGAACACAAGAAACACAACAAGAGCACAGCAAAATACTAGAGTATCCATCACCAAATCACGATTAGACAAGTACTGAAGACAATGTGCGCAATGAATACGAGACCATCAAATTTTACCTGAGCTTCCTTTTGTGCCTTGAGTTCACCATCCCGACTTGTGTTCAGTATTGCCTCCAAATTTCTGATGGTATCTCTTTCATGATCAACCTGACAATCGGAATGGTATTATTCAGATTACCGGACAAAATATCACAATCATCAGAAGCAACAGATGGTGAACGCCAAAAGTAAATTAATTCTAGTGAACCAGTGACCACTACGGCATTAGAAGAACCGTCCATTGTAATATCAATACAAAGGTTTACCTGACTTACACTGTCTATGTATAGTGATTAGGCAATCTGGATCAGAGAGGTGACCGTTGCCCATTTGTTTATGCACTCTAAAACAAATACAGATGTTTGGCTTTGATTGCACAACTACCGCAGTTGCCACCTTTGGACTTCTCATTGGGCAAGTTGACAAGGAAGGAGTAACTGAAAGCTGAGAGCACTATCAAGCTAAAAATAGAGCAAGCTGATTGATACCATTCCTGGGCTTCATCTATTGGACACATGACGGGAATGTTGAGAGGCCTGCTTAGTTCTCAAACATTGAGACCTTTCAAGAAACCGCAGCCCGAAGAGCATATTCCAGCAGGGTAAAATCGTGTTTGCACATAAGTCATGGGCGGTGGTAGCCACGTGGTTAGGTCACCAAATTGTGACCAAGAAGTTCCGAGGTTCAAACTGCTCCACCGCGGCACGACCTTCTCTATTTCCCCTGGTAGCCTTTGTGACCACAGCCCCCGTCCTGAAAGTTGACTGTAAATTTGTATATTCAATAAATAAAAAGGAAGTAAAAAGACATTTTTTAAGATGGTGTATGGAGCGTTTTATTTCGCACAGGGGTGAAACCCATGAAGGAGTCCTAAAGATTCATCTTTATCTGAAACCTTTTCCTGTTTTCGGATCGGGTTGTTTCATCGATCATCATCATCATCGTACAGCGAAATACAGTGAAGCGAACTTCGCTGAACGCTGCCAAACTCACAATGCTTACAAGGTTAGTGGAAAAATTCAAGGTGGACAGAGGTTGGATTTATTTTCAGGGAGGGAGAAGAAGATGAACCACTATGGTCAACACACAGAGAACGCATTCGAACTCTGCATACATACCATTTCAAGCGTTCTGCCCTTATGCGAAATGATAACACAAACACCACTGCTGTCGGTTCGCTGCCATATCCTTCAATGTCTTCAACCAACCAGTTGTGGAGTCTTTTGAACCCCAACCTGGAAGGCGTGAGACATCAACTCTACCTAATGGCTCTGTGCATTTCTTCATGCCTCGTCTCCACATCATCTGTTGACCTCCACGTGGTTTCTTCGCTCGGATTAGCCACAGAGAATAAAGCGCGGTGCGGCAGACGA